TTGTTAGAGCTCCTTATGTCTTATTTTCCTAATTATGTGGGATTGCATACAAAAACAGCACAGAAATTTAACAGCAGATATCTCCAAAATTACTTTAATGACTCATTTTAAAGAGGGAAATACCTTATGTGTACTTCTTTTAAACTTGGCCTGAATACTGATTTTGGTAATCTTGGGTTGTGCAAGATTTGCAAACTAAGTAGACTGTGACAGCACCTGGTTTTTTTTCCTCCTTTTCCTTGGTTTTAAACCATTCTGCAATGTCCATAGATAGTTTATTCTGTTAGTCCATAATTAATTAATCTGTTTGCCTTGAAGAATCAGGTGGGAGCCAACGTCATTCATCTGCCAAGAACCTCTAAGCAGAAAAACATATAAGTCAGTACAGAAAATATAAATAGCTGTTTCTAGTACATGCCTTCACTGAATAGTGGCTAAGACATACCTGCCCTTGTTTTCCTTCTACTCCAGACAAGCAAGCAGCATCCAGAGAGGTGACTTGTCTTGCCCTCTCCTTCACGAACTGGGCAAGATCAGCATATGAGGAGAATGATGGATACTGAGGATGTTGGCTCATGTAGTGACATTGGGAAAGGGAGGCCCCCAAATTCATTTTTAGTCACTGCAACTACTAGTTTCCCCTGTGGTTTTTCTCCCTTCTGTTCCCCCAGTCCTTCAGCAGCTGTGTGGAGGGAGCTGTACCAGGTGTTGGACAAGGACTCCAGGAGATAACTGACCTCTCCTCTCCTGCCAAGGGAAAGACTGTAACACTATGTTACTATTGAAAAGCACACTGCAAGATATGTTTTAATTAGAATGTGTTTTGCTGCAGTGTAATTAAGGGTAAAAAGCTTTGCTTACTGGAGTGTAGTGCATTTTCTTATTGTGCTTTGCTATATCAAATTCTTATCATTACCTTGGAGAGAAGGAAATAAGAATACTGGAGACCAGTATATAGCATTCACAGTAACAGTCTGCATAATTTTTTGTGAAGGCTGCTCCTGAGTTTGACTTGAGGCAGTCTTGACAGGATCTCATGCTGGAGGAATATAATACTTCAATTGTAATATTGCATGGCACTTTGAGAAGAGGGCACACAGAGTTGAACTAACTCTTGACTGGGGTAAACAGGTTTCTATTAATAAGTGCAAATTAACAGGGACTCAAATGTTGAAGAAATGTTACAGTGTTTTTGCTGTTGAAATAAAAAATGAAAACTACCATACCTTCCAAGATGTATATAAACAAAGAAAACAATTTCAAATATGTGATTGTTGGCTAGCTGCATTTAGATTTAGATTTGTTACAACATTTTGGTATGGCAAGTCAAAAGTAAATAAACCAACTAAGGCAATAATTCAGTGTTCTCAGAAAGTGTCCTAATGACATCTTTTTGTAGAATTGATTTTTCAAAGTCACATCTTCATATAAAAAATATTTTTATTTCTTGCTCTCTCTTTCCACCCACATTACAGTCTTTACAGAACAGAAGTTATGGTTCCTGATGAGGTTACTATTTACGTATGTAGTGCTGAGGAAGATCAGAGGCTTTCATGTCACCTCATGTACTGATAATGATATCAATTTCTTACACATAACTGGTTACAAGTAAATTTGAGCTGAAATTTGCAGGAACAGTCACTCAACATCATAAGAGATTGCTTATTTGGAACAGCTAACTCCAGAAACTGCAATGTAGGTAGGTTCAGTCATTTGCCACTGTCAAAAGTGAAAAATGCAGTATTTCTGTTCCTCTCTCTCCCACTCTTCATGTCTGACTGCTTAGTTTTCCAGCTCAGCTATGCTGTTACAGTAGTCCCTAAAGCTGTGCTGGAAACCAGATTGTTGAAATTTCCACTCAGACTTTAACAGTGGCAACTTCTCTGCTGTTAGAGACCGGAGGTACCCTTAAGAGAGGAAGTACTTCTTTAAACTGGGTATATATTTTCTGTTAAAAAATGCCAGTTGGTATAAAACAGAATATGTTGGATTATTTTTATCACAATTAACACTCTATGCCTTAAATTCCTGTGAATTTTCACTTGCTGGAGAGAACTGAGTCAAGAAATGTGGTGTGCTGTGGTTAACTGCTGATCCCAGGCACTTTGCATTAGGAAGCAAATATATCTGAGGTAGAAAGGCAGTTTCACAGCTAAATGCTGTTCATGAGCTTTCAGCTCGATTGCTGAATGTAACTGTGATTGTATTGGAGGTGTTTTATCCAGAAGTCCTGCCACATGTGCATTCAAGTTGCAGAAAGATGTGGAATAGCTTTCTTTAGCCTTTGCATGGTTAGACGAATTAGGCAAGAGGTGCACGTAATGGCATATAAAAGAGTTAGTATGCTGTCCTCCTTACAGTATCTCAGAGTTAAAGTTGTGCTGCAGTTAGTTCAGGTTACATATTCCAGTTCCAGCTCTCACTGATCTTGCTGTGAGGGCAGTCTCATTGTTTTGGTCCCATAGTTTGTGTTCCTTCTAGCTGCGATGCTCGCTGACTAACATTTCTTTTCCAGTGGTTAGATAAGGGGTCATTGCAAGTATCTCAAAAGGGGCACAATGATTTGGATATAGGGCACAAGCTAATGGTTTAGTAACTTCACTGGAACTGGAGATTAAAATCTGGAAACATAGGGAGAAAATTAACCCAGCCCTTCATGCTTCCCAGTTAATAAACCTAGAGCTTATATGGAAAGAGTTAATTATTTGGAAATCAGTTCAACTCCATGGCTCTGTGGCTTTTCCTTTTCTGATACTTCACATATTCTTTGCAGATGATTTTAATGGATAGACTACATTAACAGACAATCTAAAATAGAAAAAAGAAAGCTCCAGTATACAGAGATTCTTTCAGTGGATCGTGAATGGTAATGTCAAAGTCTAAAGAACAATAGAATGAGTTACCCTTAATGATCTTATTTCAATCAATGTAGTTCAATTTAATAAGAATGTTTAACTTAATATATTAAATATATTTAGATATTTTAATATATATTAATTGTTAAATGCATGGTTTCTCCCATAAGTAAAATAGATACCCAAATTAACAACAAAAGAAATTAAGTAACCTTCAAATGCAGGCTGGCTGGGGCCCCATTGCCTGGGGCGTATTGAATGATCAATACTCAGATATTGATTGCAAAGTTACATATCAAGAGTCTGTAAAAATTAGTTTCTTATTATCCCTTGTATATCCCTCTGGAGAAACAACACATTTGCTGTTACATTCAAAGCTATTGAGTTTTACTACAGACTGTTCTAATCTGTATGTTTCAGAATCTTTTGTGGAAAAGCAGATCATATGTTGAAAGTTGTCTCCCTGCTCTAGGCTGGGTGTTACTAAATGTTTTGGGGATGTAGGTGTCCCTTGTAAATGGGGTGAGAACTGGTGAGCTGGGCTGTGAGTCCTGCTCTGCTCCAGGGAAAGTGTCTGCTCTGCTGAAGAAATAGACAAGTTACTGCATGTGGCCTAGCCCTGAGTGGCATTCAGCATTCCTGCACTCCCAATGGCTACCTTTCTTTGAATGAATGCACTTGTGTTTCAGGTATTTTGCTATTTTGTTGAGGTTTCTGACTGCCTTCGATACCTGAAGATTACAACACACAAATTTCCAAGTGTTGGAAACTCCTAGAATTATTTTCTTTAAAACCTGAAAAGCACTTGTTTCAGGTAAAAAACTAGGGCAACATCAGCATCATTTTACAGATTTGTTTTGCAGATGATTCTTTCATTTAACCTAGTGCTGTATTCCTACCCAAACAGTCAAGCTTGTGATTCTTTAAAAACAAATAAATCATGTGAACTGGTGAGCACCGTTTGGCATACTGAATGGGCAGGACCTCTTGCATTTGTACCTTTGTTTTCCTGCCTTGTCAAAGGATATTATCTTGCAGACTCTGAAGTGTGTTTACCTTCAGAAAGATGAGCTATAAAGCTCAACAGAGTCCTTGTCATTTCTCTCTGCATTGTTTTCCACTTCCCCCAACTACCATATTTCAAATCCCAGGCCTTGGTCCAGCCCATCCACAGTTTTTGTAACCAATTTAGCCAAGGATGTGATTTCCCTTCTACCTGTTACATTTAGTTTATGGCAGTAATGTCTGCTTTGTGGACTCACTGCAATAAAATTGTTCCCTCCCTATGCAGGGGGATTCGCTGTAGCAGCAAAGACTTTTGTTTTGCACGTTCCACAGCGTGGCTGGACTGCTTTAAGTAATGGGTCTAATCAGAGCAGTTTGTCTTCTGTGTTGTGATATGACTGTGTTGAAGTGGTGTGATGGTTCTCACCAGTGTCTCTGGAACAGACAAGCCTGGGAGCTCAACTATGCAGGTTCAAAACCCTGCTGTCATCCCTGTCCCAGGGCATCTAGGATACTTATTGGATCTGGGTGCGCCTTCTTCAGTGTGGTACCAGAGGCTGGTGGTGGTGTTAGTTGCAGCAACAGCCATTCCTATTTAAAACATTTAAAAAATCTTCTGTACTTGGGCAAGCTGTATTTTAACAGCATGAATGTCAATGGCTAGCTTTTGGTGTATGGTATATAATTATGAAGCAAAGAGTAGTGACCTCAGTCCCTTATATTTTATTTGTGATTATGATTGAGCAGTAACAGACCACTGAAACTATACCCATGGCTGTTTTGGGTGGAGAGGAGAGGTTTTATTGTAGCATTTGCTTGAAGCCCTTTAGAAACACTGCAATTTTTTTTCCTTTCTTTCCTTCCCCTTCCCTTATTTCCTTGAGTTAGTTAAACCACACTAGACAAAAAGTTTATCTGTGGGTAATACCTTAATACCTTTGGTAAATGATTGTGCTATCAGGATGGTTTAATTTTTTTACACAGAACTGCTAAGTGAGGGTTTTTTTCTTCAGATGTCTAGACATCTCTATCAGATCACATGAAAGCAGATCACCATGACAGGCTGGGTTACTGCTTTTAACCAGATATATCTTGCATCTTGACCTTTCTAAAGCAAGCTCTCCTGTGTCCATGCTGCAGGTGTGGCTTTGGAAGAACGCTGGAGCTTGGAGGGGCTGGGAAGGAGCACCTTACAGCACATTGGTGCCATCTGATGGTAAGCTTTCCCAGCAGCTTTTCCTCCTTCCCATCGATGTCAACAAACTTTTATTTATTTTTTTTTGTGAGGGTCAGGTGAGATGATGTTAGTTACATGGTTTTATATATATCTCCCAGAAATAGAAGTACTATATTGATTTAAAAAATCTAGAATGTTTTGTGTAATTTTCCTTAATTCATCCTGTGTTTTAAAAACAGCTTTTAAGTTAAACCACAACCTACAATATGACTTTTTCACTTAGTTTTCTTTTTTTTTTATCCCCCAGAAGTAACTATTAATTACAGACATGGTCTTCCTGTGATAACTCTTATGCTGCCCACAAGAAGAGAACGCTGTCAGTTCACTGTTAAGCCAGTGGTGACCACTGTAGGAGCATTCCTGCAGGATGTGCAAAGAGAAGATAAAGGAATTGAGAGGGCAGAAGTCTTTGCAACAGGTATCTTATATTTGTTATTCCCCAGAATAAATACACTGCTTTTCAAATAGACTTCCCCTCTGAAGCACAAGTTCAGTCTTCCATCAATTTTAGCATTGTTGCTGTTGGGGTAGCTCTTGAATGCTTCTGGGTTTTATTGTGTTTCAAATTTAGTATCTGAGTCCTCTTGAAAAAGCTAATTAAAAATTAGAAGTTTAGCTTCTCTTTGCAATGCTGTCTTTAAATGCATATCTCTCTTCTGATCTCCTTGATACCTTTTTCTTTCCTTATCCTCCATGATCCTTCATAAAGACAACCTGTTGGGCTCTTGAATGTGATGTCTGCCAGTTGGTCAGTGTTACCTAGAGCTGAAAGAATCCATTTGCCTTACTACAAACTTGAACTCTTACGAAAGAGCTAAGCAACCAGATAATGAGTGCAATAGTCACGGGCAGCTTTTGTAGTCTTTGGGGATGTTTCATTCATCAACTGGAGTACAATGCTTTGGGGCCCTTGGGCTGAAAGGAAAGTGATTGCTAGGGTCGAAGGCTAACTAATATTTTTGCATTGATGTCCTCTTTCCTCCTTGTAGCATACTATTTATCCTATTGTCTCAAGTCTTTAGATAATTATCTCAAACTCTACTTGCTGTGTTCTTTTGTTCTGTCTCTTTGGTTTTCCTGATGATAAAAATTAACATCCAGTTAGTTCACCTGGTTCTCCATTTTATTTCCAAGATGATTTGTATTTTGGCGGTGCTTTGTAGTTTTTCCACAGCATTCTGAAGAGCCTTGCAACCCCTGTCTTGGTACTAGAGAAGGACTCAATCTCAAAAGTAGAATTGGGATATAGCTTTTTGGTCTGAATCTGGTAGAATAGGGACTTGAATTTGACTTACCAAAAGCATCTATTTTGCTCCTTCCCTGCTTATGCCTCTAGAGAGAAAGAAAAGAAAAAAAAAGGATAGCTACATTCCTATGGAAAGATTTATATTCCATCAGGTAACACATAAGCAGAAGAAAGGATGGGGTCAGGGAATGCTGGTTGAAAGTTTCGTAGCTGGGTGCATTCATAACATTCCTTTTCTTTCTGGTTGATACTACAGAGGGGTGCAGAGACTTTTAAGGGAACTGAAAATAGGCTGATATTCCCAGAAGATCAGGAAGCCAGAGATATAGGAGAAGCTGCTTTAGTTGCCTTTGAGAGCACATTTAGTAAAACAGGAAAATATCCCATAGAGCCATTTTTTTTTTATATCCTCCGGAGCAATGGAGATGTGATGTGTGTGGATCCCAGTGTGTGCATGAGCTTCAGGAGCTTTGTGTACACAGGAACTTCGGTGGTGTTTTTTCAGGGTTATTTTAGGGTCTGTAAGGCAGCAAAAGTAGAAAATTCTCTTGAAAAAGATAATTTCCTAAAAGACCCTTATCTTCAGAAGCCACTGTAACAAATGGCTGTTTTCAGCAGCTGGCCTTCCCCTTAAAATGGAGGTTTTCACTACAAAGGATTTCTTAACTGGGGGGAGACAGTACATATGCCAGCAAACAGTTAACGTCTGGGCACTGCTATTATGCAGAGACATCCAGGACAGGAGTATTTGTCATTTACTGTGGAATCGAATTCTTCTGTGAATTACATGCCTCACAAGTGAGTGATGTTTGCACTGAAGCAGGAGTAGTTAGCTTTTGCTGACATACCACAGAAGAATATGATTCAGCAGTGAATCACAAAGTCTAGCATTTTTGGCACAGACAGGCAGCAGATTCCAGAGTGAAGAGGAATTTGGGTAGTTTCCACCTGTCTCATCTGTTTAAACATGCACCTGTCCACCTCTGACTTTGGAATAGAAACATTGTCCAGTTTGATTAAAATAATGAGTGTCAAACAGTTCTCTGCTCTGTATTTGTCAAGTACTGGGCAATTGTAATGTTAGAGAACAGCTTAAATGTTTAATTTATTAGGAAACTGATACCGTAAAGAGAAACTATTGGTCAAGTACTGAGAGTTGATTTTAAACATTTATTATTAAAGACAAATTATGAAGCCTTGATTTAATGCAGACATTTCTGTGCCATTTAGCCATTAAATGAAAGCTAACCTTAACTGAAAGTATCAGTGCTGTGTATGATGACTTGCTTTCGTTTTCTCTGGATTTGGTTTTGGTCCTGCAAAACTTAAGTAGACAAAAAAACGGCCCTTTGTCCACATCGGAACACTTGTGTTTAGGTCTAGGATTGAAAGTAGCCTTTGCGAAAAGCCTGTGGGGAATTTTCTTAAATAAAATGCCTCCCTTTCCCCAAAACTTTTCGGTTAATAAAAGGTTGCACAGGTTAATAAATTGGTGGCGTTTCACATCCAGAACAAAGAGCCTGTCTGGCACTTTTTTTGAAAAGCAATTTTTGCTTAAATGTCACTTCATAAATGTCACCTTAACAAGCTGTGATGCTTTATTACACTGTAAAAGAAAAAAGAAATGGGTGGATGGGCACATTAAAATTTCATATTTTGGATTGAAAGTGATAGCCTTCTGGGTTTGCTTTGCCCACACAGACTGGATGGGCGAGCCAGCTGGTGCAGTAGCTTGCAGAGCTCAGCAGTCTCAGCCTCAGCAGATGGGGCCTGAGGACAGAGCTCTGGTGAATAAATAATCAGAGGTGTGGAGTCATCTATGGTGCCTTTCTGTAGTGGGCATGATGGGGGAGCTGGGGAAGTAGCACTGTGACAAATATTTACATACAAAAGTCTTGGTATTTTGTACCCTGTTCATTCTTCATCTTGGGAGTAAAGCTGCTGTTTTGTGCCGCTGCTTTAGCTCTTGGCAGAGACAGGGGAAGATACCCCTTTCTTGTATGGGAAATGAAAATCAGGTCAAACAGGTACTGTGGAGCAGCTGCTCCATGGGGGTTTTCAAACCCCCATACCACAGTGATGTGTCCAGCAGCAGTGGTGTGGGCTCTGGGAGTTCTTGGGCCATCTGAACCCTGGTGTGCTCTTGGCATCCACTGTTACGTGTTAGTGCTAATGAGTCCAGAAGTTCCTTTTCGGTAGGAGCTGTAAAATTGCATGTAAAATTCATGGGGTACCATTCATATAATTTTTTGCATCAAAAAGAAGTAGAAAAGCGTTCTCCAGAGCTATGCCTCTGTGGCTTCTGGTCTGCCTTTTACTGGACAGTGTAGCTATCCAGTTCTTGCCTTCCAGTCACTCATAGCAAAACAGAATGATTTTAAATACCATTAATAAAAATCTGTACACCACTATTGATGGGAATTGCTCCTTTTGACTTGAAGAGCCTGTTTAAGTAAAGACATAAATCTGTAACTGAAGATGAAGTCTTTGAAGGTCTTTTAACTGCCCAAAACCCCAGTAAAGATGCAAACTTGTGTGTGGGTGGAGAAACAAAAATGCAGATCCTTATGTTGCAATTTGTTGCTGGTTTATTCAGAACTTCTTTTTCTTCTGCCCTCACCAATGGGTCTGTTCTAGTCCTAATCACAGACAAGAAAATGCAAGTCTGCTTATAGTAGGGACAAGTCCGAATGATACCAGTAGAGAAAGCATTCAGGTACCCTGTGTTGGTGTCACAGAATCACTGAATATTCTGAATCGGAAGGGACCCACAAGGATCATCAAAGTCCAGCTTCTGGCTCTGCACAGATCAAGCCCCAAGAATCACACCATGTGTTCCTCCTTAATGTTTAGTGTTAGTTACCAGTTTTTCTGAAAGTACAGTTCCCTTCCAAACATTATTAATGAAGAACTGTAGCACATCAACTCTTAAGCATTAGCAGGGTTATCTGCTAATGTTTAAGACTCCTTATGGTAAGTGATCTAGAACTTAAATCTTTCTTCTGCAGATGGTAGCAAGGTCTCTCATGCAACCTTGATGGAGGTCTTATTGATGAATGACTTTAAACTTGTTATCAACAACACAGACTACAGTGTGTCACCTCCTGTAAAAGGTAAGAGCAATCCTCAATAATGGATTATCTTTAGTGAAAGGCATGGGAAGTCTCAGAAAACTGGAACCTGTCTGGAGAAAGATATTTCTATTTGGTTTTGGTTTTTTACCATTGGATAGTCCTGCTTTTGTGGTTGGAGGTAGGGAGAGAATGAAGAAGGGTGGGTTCTTGAAACGGTTTATGTGACAAATATTTTCTTTCAGATAAGCTGAATAGTGAGCATGCTACCGAAATGGACGATATCAAATCCTTGGTTCACAGACTGTTTGTAGCCCTACATTTAGAAGATCACCAGATCAGGAAAGAGAGAGAATTGCTACAGAAAATGGATCACCTCAAAGAAGAGCTGTTGCCCCTTGAACAGGTTGGAAAGTGGGGTTAATTACTTCTTTTTTAAACTCAAAAGCATTTCCTTTTATCAAGAATAAGCTCTGTAATAGAAGAAAATCAGCATGAATGGCTAGGGTGTATCTGGTTTGTTTGTTATATAAACAAATGTCAGCTCAAATAGAATTCAAATTATTTTCAATTCAGTTCTTTTCCCTCCTGTTTCAGACATTCACTGGGTAGAAATCACAACACTGGGAGAAAAAGTTGTCACGAACAAGCCTCAGCATGGCTAGTATTGAGATTGAAAGGCCATTTAGTCACCTGTTGCTGTAGAAGTTCTGAGAGAAAAACCCAGTAGTGGGATTGACATTATCTGTGGCTTAGGCTAGTGGACAAAAGGACTCCTGCTTTATGAGGACCAGCCTCAGTGTTACCCAGAACTGCCTGGAATGGTAAATGGAAATCCAGTAGATGTAGATCCCTAGTAGTTGGAAGGACAAATTTAAAAGCAGGATTTCTTGGTGCACAAGAAGATCTGGTTGCTCTTGGATTTCAGTCTTTTTATTTCTTAGCAGGGTAAGTCAGTAAGAGGTGTCAGTAAGAGGTATCAGTAAGAAATCCTGAAAGAGGATCTAGCCCAGCAGGAGAAAACATAGTTGACGATCTGCTTATCAGAGGAGCACTCATGTTTGCTATATTTCTTTTCCTTAGATGAAAGCCAGAATCATAAACAGTGCAGATGCAAAGACCTCCAGGCTTTTATGGGTTGGCTTAGCTCTGATGTCAACTCAGGGGGGAGCATTGGCGTGGCTCACGTGGTGGGTCTATTCGTGGGACATCATGGAGCCAGTCACGTACTTCATCACTTACGGGACTGCCATGGCTTTCTATGCCTACTTTGTTCTTACTAAGCAAGTAAGTCCTTTTCTTGTAGTGTCTGGAATATTGAAAAGAAGGAAAACTGACTCTGAAAATCACAATGTTTGGGCTGTGATGAAAATAGAATTTAGTAAGTAGCCTTGACATCAGACAAGGTCCTGTTTGATCCGTAATGGGGCTGGATACAAACATTACATGATGCAAAATCAATCCAGGCGCTGTTACACATGAACTGCAGACCAGCTGCTGAGCATGACTACTGTCTGTAAGATTTCATAATCTAGGGAATAAGAAGTGATGAAAGAATTCTCTCCTTTAAAATATTTGTGGATCACTTTGCATAGTAAATGGAACCTTGCTCATTGCTGTAAAAGGAGAGCAACTGCAAGTGCTGTGACAGTTTGTGAATGCTGCCTTACAGAAGAACATCACTGAACAGCAGCTTTTATTTGCTGGAGTTTATGTATAAACAGTGCAGGGTACCAAACTATTTGGAACTCTGGCAGTTGCATTACTAAAATATGCCTTATTTAGTGCCTGAAAAAAAGCTATTGCTTTGCTCTTCATACTCTGACTGCTTTTCTGTGACTTTGAATGAATGGAGGTAAATCTAGGACAACTGAAGTGGAGCAGGAAGCAGCCGTTGTGTAGAAGAAAAAAAGCTTGCTCAGATCTTAACTGAGCTTCACAATACAGACTTCTGAGACTTATGTGAGACTTTGAGAAATGTTTCTTTTTCCTATTTTAGCTCTGTACTTTACTCTCAAAGGAGGTATATTGATGTAGAACTTCCTGTGATGCAAACCTTTTACTGTGGAGGTATTGTGGAAGAGTAGCCAACACTTTCTTCCATAATACCAGTGGATCTATAGACCTTGTAAGACACTAAGTTCCTTTAGTGAGAAGGGGGGACATGTCTGTTTTTATGAAGAGCTGGCTCTAAATGCGAGTTTTATTCCTTCTCACTGTGTTTTAAGAAGGGCTAAGGCATTCCTAATTTTTCTAAATGAGTAGATAAAGAGATTACTACTTGGCTCTTTTGAAGAGCTGCTGGTACCATAAGACTTTCAAATAAGTCTGAGAAACAGTACCTGAACTTCCTCTGACTCCTTGAAGGTTGTGTCTATTTACTTCGGTGGCTCCAGTCATGAAGATCATGCTATGTCTTTATTACAATTGAAAATTCCTTCAGACATGATAGAAATTATTCCAACCATGTGTCTGAAAAGCCCTTGTGACCTGTAAGAGCATAGCTTCAGCATAGCCTCTTTACAGAACATAGGTGTGTGTTGAACGAGATAAATATTCCTGAAACAGGCTGAATTTCTAATCTTCTGACCTCTACTCAGTTTTCTTGATAACCCCAAATATATGTCCCCCTTCCTTCACCAGGACTACGTTTACCCTCATGCCAAGGACAGGCAATTTCTCCACTACTTCTATCAGAAATCCAAAAAACAGCATTTTAATGTGGAACGATACAACAAGCTCAAAGACGACCTAGCAGAGGTATTTAAACACAGTCCTTGAATAATGTGGTAGCTTCTGGCTTAAGACTTTCTCAGTAAACTCTTAGCTAACAGAAAATTGACCTCAAGGTTTGCTACTTACATTCAAAACAGTGTATTGTTTATCAGCCAGTTTCAGCTGTTCAGATAACCATACAGTGATTGCCATTGACATATAAACTACTCCAGTAAATCATCAGAAAGGGAGACCTTCATTCATTTATTTTAAAACAAGTAAGTCAGTTCATCAGCGTATTTTCTGCATATTCTGATTAATGTTGCATTTTTTAACCATTTTAATAGACTAACTGCATTGCTTCTGGACACAGTATTTTTGCTGCACTGCTGTGGTAACAGAGTCTCTTCCCTTCCTTGGAAGGAGTTCAGCATTTGACATCATAATTCTATTCCTTAGGTAAAAGGCTTAGTTTTACAGAATATGAGCAACTGGATGGAAAGTGTGTGTACGTAGGAGAAACTTTTTGGCCTTCATGACAAAGTCTAGCAGATCTCTCACTCCTCTGTTCTCACTCTTCCATCCCATCTTGCCAGCCCTGTGTTCAATGTCTAGTAGAAGAAAATGGGAACTAATTTTAGTTCAGAACCCATAGCTCAGGGTATAATTTCATAAGCCACATTTCACATAAAGCTAAAGTGTGATGCTTTTTCAGTGGCCTGTGAGTATGAACTTTATAATTGTGATTTCAGGAAAATAATACTTTGGGGTGCGGGTGAGTGGGTTGACAGCAGGATTCATGCTTCTCTCTGGACACTGGCTGAAGGACCTCAGCAGGTCTGTAAATGTTCAGCATCCTCCCTTTGATTCGCTTGGTTTCTTGCCTAAGACCAGTGCCTTGTGAGAAGACAAATGTGTGAAAGAGGAGAAAACAAAGGGCTGCAGAAGGATGAACTCTCACTCTTTCAATAATAAGCTCTCACTCTTCCTTGCATTGGCAGGCAGAAGAATCCCTGAGGCGTCTGCGCCAACCTCTGCACCTGAGGCTTCCCATCCAGGAAATCAATGACAAGGACTAACTTTGTTTTTGTATATATTGGAGTTGCCCTTTCAAAGCTGATATGAACATTTAATTGAAATTGAAACTGGGCATTTTTGACCACTATAGTTTTGAAAGTTGATTAAATATCTATTAAAATGATTTGGTCACTTGATGATTTTGGTTTGTTTTATTTTTGTGGGTTTTTGTGGTTTTTTTTCAAAATCTTCAAGATATTTTCCAAATTTCATTAGTACAATGGAGGGAGGCATTCTGACTGTTGGTAAAATGACAGAGATGCTTTACAGAACAAAGGCTGTCTTTTTAGTACCATGTACTATGACCAGTACCTCACAGAATTCTTCTTGCATTGAGTATTAAGGATTCTTTTCCTGCAACTACTGTTTCCTTTTCCCTAGCTCTCTGCATTGACTCTATTGGTGTAACACCGCTGATGAAGGTTAGACTTGATCTACAGGTAAGCTTTTTTTAGTAAATATTGCTGGAAGAACAAGGCATCTCAAACTTAATATAAAATCATTTATGTTGCACTTTATTGAAAAAAATTATCAAAACATTCAAACATACATGATTTATGTAAAGCTTAAAAGTAGCCATAGTAAGATTTAACATATGTGGTTCGGAACATAGTTAGTATATGGGAAGACTCAACTAAAGCAGAGGCAGCAAATCAATTATTTTATCCCCAGGAAAGTGGATTAAGACATTTTGCTCAGTTTGAGTTCTCCGTTGTCCCTCAGGATTAAGCGTATGTACCAATAATATATATATTAAAAAAAAAAAAACAAACCACCAAAAAACCAAAGAAAAGAAATAATCACTTCTAGGCAGTATTATAGTCAGTGTCACTGCAATTGCTGATGCAGCAGTAGTAACAATCCTATGGTGACTATCACTTGTATGTAAACAATGACAGAGTATGGCTGATCTTCTCCAGAGCCAAGAGGAGGAAGAGGCTGATCCAACACCAAGGTCTGAAGTATGAAGGTTTGCATAGGTTATATTTTGCAGAGCTGCCTAGAGATGTCTAGCAGCTTTAGCTGTAGAGGTATGTACAAGGCAAGCTTACCCAAAGTCAAGCTAAGGTCTCATTTCACTACTGCTAGCTTTTCTCCTGAGGATTCAAAGCACCAGCAAGCTGTAATTGTGCCCCAAACATAAATGATGTTCAAGTAAAAAGAAACCCTTTATTAATTAACCCTATATTAATGCTACAACTGTACTCAAGGAATTAAATTCCTTTTTAGTGTTGAGAGAAAATAATAAAAAAATGTCCAAAAAGCTCAATAAAGCCACAAAAATTGCAATGTGGATGCTGCTTCCACAAATCTGAAAAGATACCCTACAAACTTATTCCCTATAAAGTGTGCTCTTGGAGCAAGATAAATTAATCTAATGCATCATTAGAAATGTTTTGGAAGTAGTAAAATGTGCCATAGTTAGATGGCAATCACGCAAAAGGCTTTTTACAAAAAAGTAATCTAGATACCAATTTCAATAAAATCTGAGCACCTTCTTAGAGTTTTGGACCAGTCAGCTTTTCCCAAATTCCCTGAGCTGTAAAATTGCTTTAAGATTTTAGAATCTATTATGTATACAAACTATAATGTTTGATTCCAGTGATTTTGCGAACAATCTTGTAGAGTATTAGTTTCCTGAACTAAGATGGTGTTTTCATTTCTGCAGCAAGTAGTAGTTAATGGTCATCATTGTTAAATAACAATCTACTTAGATTTTGGATGAAAATACAATTTTTTAGTTAACATTGAGGCAAAACAAGGAATCTGTTTTTTTCCTATAGCATTAATGTCTCTGCACACATCCACTTTGCGGTAAGATACTTTCCTGTTAACGACAGTAAGAAGTTCTGTGAACTCCAAGGAAGACCCGTGCTTCCGAAGCGTTTCACAAAGATCTTGAATGTACCAGGAGCCATTTACAGTCTCACGATGAGAATAGTAGCCTAATGTAGAAAAGAAAAATAAAATAATATCTGACTGTAAGTAGTGATGACTCTTGGAAAAATATTTATGAGAGTCACTGTTCCCTACCATCTGTAAGAGATTACTAATGGGTATAAATCTTACTTTGCCAGTTATGTAATTTCACTGGACATTGTAGATAGGAAATGGCTTTGAGATCACTTATAGTGCTCAGCTAAGAGGAATGTGATTCAGGGATTGGTAGCTTACAGGACTGTATCTGTACATTACAAGAGAGCAGATGGGAGTGAGGACAAGAGAGAACAGCCATACAGTGCAGGGAAAGTTATAAGCCACCAGAATCCTACAATCATGGAATAGAAGGGAATGCGTGCTATCAGCAGACAGCTCAGCAGGAAGATTGATGAGAATGTTTCTGTTTGGCAAATTAACTGCAACCTTGATAGTTTATTTTCACTTTTCCTTTAACACGTAAGGTTCTTTCAGACAAGGTGTCACTTATCAGACATGAAAACAGATGACCTGGAACTGTTCTCATTTTTTTGACAGCAAAATGAAGAATGAATGAAGTTTAGACATTGGATGTAAAATATTAGAACTTACCTTGCGCTACCGAGTAGCACATGATAAAGTCTGCACCAGCGGGCAGAGTATAGACACCAGCTGCATCCACTTCAGTCTCATTGACAGTGGATTCATTGCTACTGTCTGTTGAATCATGAGCAATAACTGGATCATCATGTTTATCACCTCGACATGCCTGTTGGTGAGAAGTATTGTTAGGCTTCCACCTTTGCCAAACTCACCTGATACTTCTGATGTTAACCAGAGGGAACTTCAGTTAGGTGTTCCACATTACTGTGAGTCTGGATCATAAAGACCCATTTACTTCTCTATCAGTTAAAATATTGATGATGAAGTCCATTGAAAGCTCTGAGATGACCTCAGAATCACTAAGACTGGACTTGAAATCACCTAGTCCAACCGCCTGGCTCAAGCAAGGTTTGCTCTACAGCAGGCTATCCAGGACAATGTGCAGTCAGCTTTCAAGTATCTTCATAGATGGAGACTCCACAATCTGTCTGGGTGACTTCTTCCAGTGTTTGACCACCCTCACAGTAAAAAAGTGTTCTCTTGTGTTGAGATGGAATTTTGTATGTTTTAATTTATTCCGGTTGCCTCTTGTCCTGTCACTTGAGCACCACTGAAAAAAGCCTGTCTCCCTCTTATTTATTCCCTCCCACCAGATGTTTATAACATTGATAAGGTTCCCCTGCGGCATCTCCTCCAAAGCTGAACAGTCCCAGCTCTCTCAGCCTCTCTTCCTATGAGAGATACTCCAGTCTCTTAATCATCTTTGTGGCCTTTTGCAGGACTCACTTCACTATGTCTGTATTTTTCTTGTACTGGAAAACCCAGAGCTGGACACAATACTTCAGATGCAGCCTCACCGGTGCTGAGTAGAGAGGAAGAATTGCCTCCCTGAGACCTGCTGGCAAGCAGGCAGCATTGAATTAATGTTCTGATGCACAGCCATCATTACATGCTGTTACACTTCTGCTATTAGTTCAGTCTCAAATGTGTTAGATGAGGGAGGGGTTTTTTGTGAGAAGTCAATAAGTGAGCCCAGTATTGTTAGTGATGCAGGAAGGCTACACATGGAGCATAAGGTGAGAACACGGTCAAAAGATAAAAAGTAAGTAAGAAGCATTACTTAAGAACTACCACTAAAAAGAGAAAACAAAACAAATCTTCTTTACAGTGATGAAGTTCCATGTGGCTGTTTCCTCTAATTTCCAAAGGTAAATGCTATGCCAGTTGTTCTATAAAAGAACTCAGCTGATGAACTAAGTTAATTAGCTTTTTGATGAGTATATGTTATAGATGTTTCCAAGTATTACTTAAAATTGAAATATGAAAATATTTTTCCATGTTTGGTACCAGGTTAAAAATAATAAAGGAAACCTGCATGACTCCTAATGAAAGATGAATTAATGATGTGCTGATTATCACAGCAGCCCTGTGCCTAAGGAAGCTTTCATTTGGAAAAACAAAAAAGATAATACTTAGGATTACTCTGCAAACTACTAGAATTACAATCTGCTGAGGGCCAGGTTCATATATGAGTTTGCTAACTGTAATCTGGATAAGCCCTGCATGATCCCATGACTTTGCTTTGAACAAGAGGCTTGAACAGAGACCTTCTGAGGTGCCTCCCAGCTTGCATTATGCCGTGAACCAAGATGTGAAACAGGAGGTTACATATGGGCTTTATTTGACTGCTTATCACAAAAAGTATTTTTGAGACAATAAATTCATAAATTGATTCCTAGATGCCAGGTATTGGTCATAAACAAAAAACAAATCACTACCACCACAGAAACCAACCAAATAGTCCACAAAAAAAGAAAACAACCAAACAAAAACAAAACAGAAACCCCAGCTTCAGTTAAAAGAGACTTGTCTAGAAGGAAGCAATGAAGATAGAGGTTTGATAGCCTTCTACAGTCTAGTGAGGTGTGAGCTGTAGGAACTGAGCTGAGAACTTCCCCAAAAATATGGCACTGCCTTCTCTGCCATTAAATATACAGTGACAGTCAATATGACATGGGCTCAATTTGTTTTTCTCTTCATAAAATTTCTTACTGAATACAGCTCTAATCATGATATTAACACTAGTGTACATACAGGTTTCTTAAAAAAGAAGACTCCTTGTCTGAAATGTCTTTAAGGAAAAATTTCCCTTGTAGAAAGACTGCATCAGGAAAACTGACATCTCTATTGCAGGAAGACACAGGTCCGTGTTAAGTCCACTGAATTCAGAAACAGACATCTTACCTGAATGATAAATATCTTTGGTTTTCCTACTAGACTCCGGCACTTGTCTCCTCTGAACATATCTGTGATTGTCTCAATTTTGATTTTGGCATCATATGCATAAACATGATCATTCTCGCCATGACTCAGGAACACACAAACAAAGCAGTCAGCATTACTGTGGTCATCCATAGAGGCTGAAATAAGTCAAAATGACTAAACAGTCATCCTGAGGTTTAAAAAACATTGTACATTTGTATCATTTTTAATCCCTGATCAGTCCTTTTCAAATGAAAGCTATTTTCAGATAGAAGAATACTGCAGATTTGAAGGTGCATTGATTCAACATGGCTGAAGGGCCACTAAATGTAAAAAGAA